CAATTATCTCCAGTGGTGCTAATGCACTGGCCATCGACACAGACATGCTTGTGTGATGCTAGCAAAGACAGTCCTAAATTCACAACATGCTGGCTGATTAGAGGCCAATAAATGCAAGGAGCATGCTGGGGATTGTCAGAAATAATGAGGTGACAGGAACAGAGTCTATTTAGTAAAAAAAATAAAATAAAAGTGGAGGCAGGATAGGGATTATGGATATGTATAGGTCAACTGGGTAGTCTAGAATTTTAGCTCCATTTGAGGCTCTGGATTATCCATATTAGAAGCCAAGATTCTTGGGGGTGGGGGTGGGGGGTTAAGGGATCATTGCTAAGCCTCTGTTTTGTTTTGTGCTGAGCAGTCGCAGAGGAGCAAAGAGTGATTAACAGGGATTAATAATCTCAGAAATGCTGGAGCACTTTGTAACATAGCAATTGCCATTTGGGAGCAGACCCATGGTCCATCTCATCTAAGGTTCTGTTGCTTCAAAAACAACTGTCTCCAGGGAATGCCACTTTTGACTTCTAATGTGCTGAGCCCACTGAATTAGAGGAGCTGCTAACGAGGCTCGTGATGGCAGCCCATGGGTGGCAGAGACCACTTTTACTTTCATTCTAGGCTAGCTACCGAGCTCACAACTCATGCTGCAGCTCAGTGACTGTAGAGTGCCATGTAGTTTCCAAAGCTCTTTCCAATGAGTTATCCAGCCCACCTTTTTAAAATATATATATATTTTTTTCTTTATTGATTTGAGAGAGAGAGGAAGGGGGAGAGAGAGAGACGGAAACATCAGTGAGAGAGAACATCAATTGGCCGCCTCCTGCATGCCCCCCCACCCCTGCCGGGGATTTGGCCCACAACCTGGGCAGGTGCCCTGACTGGGAATTGAACCAGTGACCTCTTGGTGCGTGGGTCGACACTCAACCAGTGAGCTATACTGGTCGGGCCCAGCTCTTCTTTATATCAGGCCTATGAAAAAGTTAGGTTATTACTAGCATGGTAATGGTAAAAATACAGACTCTAGAGTCAACTCCTGTTTTATTTTTTTCCGTTTTTTTTTTTTGTTTTTTTTTTTTATCCTCACCCGAGGACATTCTTCCATTCTTTTGTTCAGATAGAGTGGGAGGGAGAGAGAGGAAGAGAGAGAGAGAGAGAGAGAGAGAAACATCGACGTGAAAGGGACACATCGAGTGGCTGCCACCCGCACGACCAACCAGGGCCCGGGACAAACTGCAACCGTCAACTCTTGTTTTAAATCCTGCCTTTTTCACTTACTAGCAGGTTGACCTTGAACAACCTACTTAACCTTTCTAAACCTCAATTTTTACATCTATAATACAGATAATAATGGCACCTACCTCATAAGGTAAAACTCTGTTAGTACTTAATGCATGGAAAGTGCTTAGTGTTCCCATACATGACACATAAGTACTCATTAAGTATTAACTGCTATTGCTTATCTCTTTCTCCTCCTCCCCAGCACCCCCCCATGGCCACCATCTCTGCCTCCACATCATTACCCACCATCCCCCACAGCAAGATAAGAAAACTAAATCTCCAAGATAGACTTTTTTTTTTTATCCTCACCCGAGGATATTTTTCCATTTTTTGTACAGATAGAGTGGGAGGGAGAGAGAGGAAGGGAGAGAGAGAGAGAAACATCGATGTGAAAGGGACACATCGAGTGGCTGCCACCCGCACGACCAACCAGGGCCAGGGACAAACTGCAACCGAAGTACGTGCCCTTAGCGGGAACCAAACCCGGGTCTCTCCGGACCGCAGGCCGACGCTCTAACCGCTGAGCCAAACTGGCCAGGGCCAAGATAGACTTTTTATTTATTTTTTAAAAATCCTCACCGGAGAATTTTTTTCATTGATTTTCAGATAGAGTAGGAGGGAGGAAGGGAGAGAGAGAAATATCGATGTATGAGAGACACAGCGACTGGTTGCCTCCCACACGACCCCGACCAGAGCAAGAGACAAACTGCAGCTGAGGTGCATGCCCTTGACCGAAACTGAACCCACGACTCTTTGGTCTGTGGGCCGACGCTCTAACCACTGAGCCAAACCAGCCAGAGTAACAGACCTTTTTTTGAAGTTACCTAACTACTAACCAACTCAGGTAGGACTAAGTCATTACCTTCTGACTGAACCATTGTCCCTTCCAGGTACACTTTTCATTTCTCTTTCCTTGACCTGAATCCTCCTCATCATCCAGGTCTCAGCTCAGCCATCTCCTTCATGAACCTCCTCTGCGCTCTCTTACATGACATCACAGTCCCTGTACTTTCCCCATCACAGAACTTCTCACACCTCATTATCGCTGCCTGTTGTTCTGTGTCCCCCACCCCCACCCAAGAGGTCATGAGTTTCTTTTTTTTTTTTTTTTAATCCTCACCCGAGGACATTTCTCCATTTTTTGTACAGATAGAGTGGGAGGGAGAGAGAGGAAGAGAGAGAGAGAGAGAGAAACATCGATGTGAAAGGGACACATCGAGTGGCTGCCACCCGCACAACCAACCAGGGCCGGGGACAAACTGCAACCGAAGTACGTGCCCTTAGCGGGAACCGAGCCCGGGTCTCTCCGGACCGCAGGCCGACGCTCTAACCGCTGAGCCAAACCGGCCAGGGCCAGGTCATGAGTTTCTTGACAAAAGAGACCAGGTTTATATTCTACATCTGCATCCCCAGTGCAGAGCACAGCATCAGGGACATAGTAAGTGTTCAATAAATATTCAATCAATAGAAGGATGCGATGACAGACTCCTTGCATTCCAATCTGCGGCCACATATTAAAGCATTCTTTCTCATTGGGGCACGTTGGGAAATCAGAGATAGTCACACATGGCTTCATGCTTTAGCGTGCTGTTAACTAATCTTAACCTCATGTTGCAAACTCAAGGCCATGTTACCAAATTCTAATGAATTCCATTTCTGAAGACAGTAATGTGCAGAAATAATGCCTCGAAGGGACACATTATGTAAACACACACGCACACACACACACACAACACACATGCACATTCATGAAGGCATGCACACTGTGTACACAGCTCCCCACCCCTTCGCATCTTGAAAAGGACACCTTCTTTGTCCTTGGAAAGGATTCTCAGGAACATCTGCCCTTAACAAGGCATGGTGAAAAGCAGGTATTCATCCTTGGCATTCTTTCTCACAACAGGCTCTTAAAATTCTGACTCTGAACAGTCTCCTTCTCACTTGCAGCTTTTGTGCTTTTGGAAATTTTGAGTCAGACATGACAGACCAGAAAAACGTGACCAAATAACAAATCCTCTGACCCTTCCCCTCCCCCTTCCTTTTGGCGGGGGTAAGAGGGTATAGAAGTTGGAAATTCCATGGAAATCCATCCAAAGTCTACCTGGTCTCCTCTCGTTAAAGTAGTATTACTGAGGGCAAACCACAGAAAACTCAGGCCCCCATTGATACCACAGTAGAATGCATTAAAGGGGTTACTTGGTGGAAAGGGGTGAAAGAAAGGCACATTGGAATGACAACAGATAGAAACCCTTTAAAAAAATACGTCTGACAGAAAAATGTAAAATTTTTCATAGCAAGGGAAGAGCTGAACTCTACCTCACATGACAAACACTCCAGGTGTAATTTAGAAAACAAACAAACCCTGCTCTCTTATCATCTTATATAAAAAAGCACATTAAGAAATATAACCTGTATGGGATCTATGGACAGATAAAGCTAAGGTTGCCCTGTTCCCTTGGGATGCCAGCACCTGATACATTCGTATCCACAGGCTGAGAGAGAATATATATGAACATATAGAAGCATGTACATTTACACAACTATACATTTGATCTTTGATTTATTCTACTTTTATGTCTTTGACCACTTTTCAAACTTCATTCCTCTGTGATAAACATTTCTTTGGAAATGTTTCCTTCTCCATTCCTTTCCTTAGAAGTAGCTCTTCTTTTCTGAATGTCTTCCCCTTTGACCTATCTCCTTGTTTTTATCTACCTCGGTTACAAACTCCACCTCAAGAGAGAACCTCTAATGATTCTTTCCCTTTAATAAAAATATGTAGTTCTCTTGCACTAAATTTTATTTCCCAGGGCCCCAAAATATAGCCGAATGTAAAGGCTATACGTAAAGCGAAGTAACCACACAGATTCAAGAAATGAATTGTAAACAGCAAGCAGAAATCTGCTCGTTGCTTCATCCAAATCAGGTGGGACAGCTTACGGGTTCTATTGAAAAGTCTTCCAAACATTTAGTACAGGTTAGAAGTTTTTCCTACCCAGAGATTTCTAGATCTACCTTCCAATTCAAAATTACCCATGTAATAAGACCCTACATTCCTCATTGTACACAAAGTAAGAAGTTCACACGGTCTCTTCCTTCACCTCCTGACCCCCAACACTTTTTCTTTTATTCCTTATCCTTACTCGAGGACATTTTTTCATTTTTTGTTCAGATAGAGTGGGAAGGAGAGAGAGAGAGAGAGAGAAACATTGACATGTAAGGGACACATCGAGTGGTTGCCACCCGCACAACCCAACCAGGGCTGGGGACAAACTGCAACCGAGGTACATGCCCTTAGCGGGAACCGAACCCGGGTCTTTCTGGACTGCAGGCCAACACTCTAACCGCTGAGCCAAACTGGCCAGGGCGCAACCCTTTTTCTTTGTTAAAGGAGTTAACACATCTATCTGGTCTAGGAATCCACACACCTCTTTAGCATTTACATAATGGGTATATTCTCTTCTAGCCTCATCTCTCAACCCTAATAATTTTGTAACCAGTCACCATTTGTCATTGCTATGTACCGACACGTTTCATCAAAACGTGTTGTTCTGCAAACAGTAAATCAAACTGTGTTTTCCATCTACCCTTCCTGTTTCAAAGGTGACTTACTTGATTTGGGTTCCACAGACCAACTTTGAAGCACTTGGAACTGGTCAGCACTTCCATGTTGCTATGTTATTAAGGACAGTAGGTATAAATAATAATAATAATACCTTTATTTCCATAGGTCTTTTCATCTGGATAATTCATGCTTCATAATTGTGCCACTAGTCTCTGTCTTGGGTTCTCCCTTGGCTCCTGTGACAAACACGGGGTTCAGATCCAGACTCTAGGAGGTGGTGACGCTTCAACTTTTGGTGACATACAAGGCATTCCACACTCCCCAGACCCCCCTGTAGTCTGCTTGCGGGAGGTGGCTCTGAGCCTGTCAACATCCAGGCGAACAAGGGAACGAATCAACACTACAAAACCTCTCTGTGCGCCAGCCTCCACCGGAGGGCTGCCTTCGGTTTGGGAGAACACTGGTTCTTAAAGGCGGATCTGGGCCCGCAGCCCCAGCAGTACCTGGGCAACTGACCAAACCCAAACTGCAGGCCCCTTTCCCGACCGCTTAAATGAGACTCTGGGAAGTGTCCTGCAAGTTCTAGTTCACAGACACTTCAGGTGACTCTGATACAGTTGAAAACAACTGCGATGGGGCATCGAGGGCGTTGGCAGGAGGCTGCAGTTGTTAGGAGAGTGATCTTCATATAGTTAAAGAGGGGCCATGCGCATCGGATCCGGAGGTTTTGAGGGAAGGCTTCCCCCCTGTAGGGCTAGGAGCAACGGGTAAAAAATGGGGAGACTGCTCTGGTACCCAGACCAACGTGGAAGCAATTAGAACATTTTGGAAATAAGAGCAAGTCATTTCATAGGTTAAAAAGGGCTCCTTCTGCCCAGCTGGTGTGGCTCAGTGGTTGAGCGTTGACCCATGCACCAAGAGGTCACCGGTTCAATTCCCAGTCAGAGCACGTGCCCAGGTTGTGGGGGGCATGCAGGAGGCAGCCAGTCGATGTTCTCTCTCACCGATGTTTTTATCTCTCTCTCCCTCTCCCTTCCTCTCTCTAATATCAATAAAGAAAAAAATAGTAAAGTAATATAAATTGTCCTTTAAAATAAAAGTATTTTAAAAAAAAGAAAAGGCTCCTTCTGTTGAAGTGTCCAGCAGTATAAGATTCTAATCTAGGAAAACCTATATAGGCAATACAAAAAGTACTAAAAATAAAGATGCAAGATTAAAAAACAAATTAAAAGTAAGCCTTAATAGGTTTCACCATACTAATAGAGAAAGGCTTATAATTAATCTGCTAGCATTAATTATTTTTAAATGTTTTTATTGATTTTTTTAGAGAGAGAAGAAGGGGGAGATGGAGACATTGATGCAAGAGAGAAATATAGATCGGCTGCCTCCTGCACGCCCCCTACTGGGGATGGAGCCTGCAACCTGGGCATGTCCCTGGGACCTCTTAGCTTATGGGACAATGCTCAACCCATTGAGCCACACCAGCTGGGCCCATTAATTTTTTAATAGCTCAAAGCTATTACCTTTAAAACCTATCCTACTGATGGTGCATGGAGTGGATGAATGGATTTTAGTTTCCTAATGCTTTATTTCATATTCAGAAAAAGGCAGCAGTTGGCTTAGGCTCTCACATGGTTTCATTTAGTATTATGTGAGGTTATATTTATTATTTAAAAGGGATCAATCACCATCAGCCAGAACTGATACTGGATCAAAGATTAAGGTTGGGGTGTTAACTTCTCCTTTGTTTTATAATCAAAACAACTGTCTTTTGAAAGTAATGATTATGTTTTGGGACATAGAGATAACTGTACTGATATTCATAAATCTACAGCCTAACACTATCAAGAAGTTACTGCATACTATGCACCCGGGACTGTCCTAAGCACATTACACACACTGTCATATTTAATACAGGCAAACCTCAGAGATATTGTGGGTTCGGCTCCTGCCCAACGCAATAAAGCAATAGTTGCAATAAAAATGAGTCATAATCTTTTTGCTGGTGGAGGGTCTTGCCTTCAATTTGTAAAAAAAAAAAAAAAAAAGCAACACGTGAGGCTCCATAAGGCCAAGTGCAATACAACGAGGTATGCCTGGACTCACAACCACCTTAGACGTTGAACTTTGTTATCCTCATTCTATAGAGGAAGCAGCTGGGCTTTGAGAGGTTAAATAACTTGTCCAAGGTCACAGAACTAGCAAGTGCTGGAGTCAGGATACAAACCTAGCTGCCTCCACAGTCCATGTTCTTAACCATTTAAGTACAGGCACACCTCATCTGTCGCACTTCATGGATTTTTAACAAGCACAAATGTTGCATTTTTAACAAATTGAAGGGGAGACCTCCACCAGCAAGAGGATGCTTGACTCCCTTTATTGCAGTAGGCGGGACCTAAACTCACAATAGCTAAGATACACCAGTATATATATTTTAGAATAATCCTGAACTCTAGAAATTTGGAGGGCAGAAAGAATGTATGGTCCAGTACAAGTAATACTTATGACCACTTCAAGCTTCTAGAAATACTAAAAACAACCCAACAACCACTTATTGAATGTTCAACCTATGTCAGGTACTAAACTAACCACTGTATAACTATTCTCACTGAACCCTCACAACAATATAGAAGGTGGTTACTATTATTGTCCCAATTTTAATATGGGCAATTACGTCTTCTTGGTAAAGAACTCACTGCTCGTGTAAGTGGAAATGAAGCAACAAATGTACATAGTTTGTAAAAGACACTCAGTAAATGTAGCTTCTCTGCCTTCATATCATGTTTCCAGAAATAACAATGGTGCTGATGATGATCAAGCCATTGTCTTTCTCCATATTCTCTCTCTTTTTCATTTCAGACAACATAAGCTATCATTTATTTTTTGTAATTTTTATTAATTTATTTTTGTTACAGATGTTTCTCCTTTTTCCCTCATTGACACCCTCCTCCCGATCCCCCCCAACCCCAGCATTGTTGTCTAAGTTCATTGGATATGCATATATGCATGTAAGTTTTTTGGTTTATCTCTTCCCTACCTCCCACCCCCTCTTCTGAGGTTTGTCAGTCTGTACCCTACTTCTTTCTATGTCTGAGTCTATTTTGTTCATCAGCTTGTATTGTTCATTATATTCCACAAATGAATGAGATCATGTGATATTTGTCTTTCTCTGATTGGCTTATTTCACTTAGCATAATACTCTCCAAGTCCCTCCATGTTGTCTCAAAGTATAAGAGATCTCTTTTTCTTACAGCTGCATAGTATTCCATTGTGGTTATGTACCATTTACAATTGCTAAGATCTGGAAACAGCCCAAGTGTCCATCAATCTTCCATATTCTCTTACTTGTTCCACATGACAGATATTTGTGAGTGAAATATTTGGGTGGAGAATGCAGTTGTGAAATGGAACTTTTCCACATCTTTAAAATCACTGAACCCTAGTTCTTTGAAACTTGTATCACTGGCCAGGAGTGTGGCCCCAGGACTCTTCCACTGGCAACAGTAACAATGAATGAACCTTGGGAATGATACACATCTCACACCCAAGCCCAGCAATCAAAGGGCTATGGCACTTGCTCTACCCAACGAACCTTGTGCAAAGGATGTAGGTGGCTAACACCCTGCAGAGAGAGTCAGCAAGAATAAACATTTTTTTTTCTAAGACTGTAAGATTTGACCTAGTTAGGAGTTCAGTGAAAGTTGGTTTATTCAGCTCAACACCAAAAAAATAAGCAATCCAACTGAAAAGTGTACAGTGGACCTGAATAAACCCTTCTCCAAAGAGGATGTACAGATGGCCAATAGACATGAAAAGATGCTCAACGTCACTAATCATCAGAGAGATGCAAATTAAAACCACAGTGGAGTATCACCTCACACTCTCAGAATGGCTACCATCAATAAATCCACAGCTATTGCTGAGGATGTGGAGAGAAGGGAACCCTGGTGCCCTGTTGGTAGGAATGCAGATTGGCAGAGCCACTGTAGAAAATGGTATGGAGATTGCTGAAAAAAAATTTTTTTTAAAAACTGCCTTATGACCTTGAAATTCCACTTTAGGGTATATATTGGTAGAAACCCAAAACACCAATTCAAAAGGATATATGCACCCCTATGTTTACTGCAGCATTACTTACTACAGCTAAGATATGGAAGCAACCCAAGTATCCATCAATAAACAAGTGGATAAAAAGCTGTAGTACAATGGAATATTATATTATTCAACCACAAAAAGAAAATTTTATCATTGCGACACCATGGATGAACCTAGAGGGCACTATGTTAAGTGAAAGAAGTCAGTGAGAGAAAGACAAATGCCATATGATTTCACCTATATGTGAAATCTAAAGAACAAAACAAAATGAACAAAGAAAATAGAAACAGACTCATAGACACAGAGAACAGACTGATGGTTGCCAGAAGGGTGGGAAGGAAAAAGGTGAAGGGATTGAGAAGTACAAATTGGTAGTTGCAAAATAGTCATGGGGATGTAAAGTATAGCATAGGGAATAGTCAATAATATTATAATAACTATATAGGGTGCCAGGTGGGTACAGGAAACACTGAGGGGATCTCTTTGTAAAGCATGTATGATTGTCTAACCACTATGTTATACACTTGAAACTACAAAATAATATTGAATATAAATGGTAATTGAAAAATAAAATTTAAAAAAATTGATATTCAGCATTTTAGTATCATGGGAAGAACTCTATTGTAGGAATTGAAATCTCTGGACCTCAGTCATGTCTCCACCACAAACGATCTATGTGATTATGGGCAAGCTAGATCTGTTTCCCCCTTGAAGAAATGAAAAGAAATAAGACTTGTTCTCCAAATTTGTTGTGCATAGTAGATAAAGCTGTGAAAATACTTTGCAAAAATATAAAACACCTTCACAAGTATAAGACAATATGACTATTTTATGTAAGTTCTTTCATGCTTAAAATTTGCCGCTAACATATCAACCTGGTCAGCCAAGTTTACTGACAGACTCATTTAAAAGGCAAGAGGAAAGGGGATTATTTTAAATGGATGATTATCAAAGACATCCGTGGAACTCTTTGCCCAGTTGTTTTGATGGTTAAAAGGGATTTGTTTCCCATGACCTTACTTCCCTATAAGCCTGGCAAATTCCCAGATCAGTGAATGTTGGTATGAAATAGCCTGATAAACTTTTCTGTGTAAGCAAAAAGGAGTATCACCAAACTACTATGTTACTAAGCAGGACAGAGACTTGCTCAGTAGCTCAACAAAGGGGCTCAATGTATTTTGCTAAAGATGCCTTTGGGTTCCTATTCGAATTTCACGGTGCCATGTTTTTCTCCCTTGCCGGTCCACATTAGAGAATAGAATTTGGGAGATTAGTTGAGACAGCAGTGAAAGGGGATAGTGTGAAGGACATTTTTATTCAAGGAGGAGAAAAAAAGAAATTCCATCTGGAGTTAAACTTGGAAGAGATGAATAAAAGATGGTACTACTTAGTACTGTTGAGTGTTTTTACATCTCATTGGAAGGACACAACAAACAGATTCAAGAGTAATGATGTGAAAATCAAGGAAACAATTTCTTTGGTGCTTTACATACGTACATCTTGAGCTATGGTTTCCCCTCAAATTATTTGACAGATTAAAATAGCTTTGCAATGTGACATCATCATCCTGCTTTCTGTATTACAGTTCTTTTCTTAAACATTTCACAGGTCAACACAAACAAAGTAAGACTAAAGATCCTAAGCAGAAATTTTCCTGGAGACTGTATTTGGAAAGTCCCATTCATTCTTTCAAGTGATTATGGGGCTATAAAGTTGATAGCTTGATTAATCACTCAAACTTTGACTCTAGGTCATCTTGCCCGGTTTACCCAAAATAGAAAAACAGAATTTATGAAGGTTTCTTAGAACATAATCAATGACTGCAAAAGAAATCAAGGCTTCTCAAACATAAAACATGCCACACTTTCCAAAGTCAAGAACATCTCATGAGCGGACAGTGGTATTTTCTTGCTTACGTTGCTCTGATAAAACATACATGCTCTGTGACCAATAGTCATATTGCAACTTGACCAGCTGCCCCCATGTGCAGACCTCCCCAGTAGGTCTGGTTGTCACTAATCCACTGATTAAACATCTTAAGGCTGGCTTTGGTAAAACATGCCAGAAATTCCTTCAGGGTAATTAAAACCACCTTCTGTGTCAATAAACACAGACTGAGATCCTCCATGTGCAGAGGGATTGGCTCTGACCCATGGGCTCTAGGACATTTTTTCTGAGATGGCTTTGCCATCATTGCAATTTTTACTGACTCATCCAGATGCTTTCCCAGCTCCCTTATGAAATAGGGTCAGAGATATCATCTTACCTTTATTGTTTCAGCCAAGACACAAAGACCAAAGGAGCTCTGAACCTAAGGGCCAAGCTCATTGCCAAAGCCTTTCACCTAGACCTACAGGTAAGAGCGTAAAAGAGACTGTTGTTACAGAACTTGACAGTTACTAGTGTCCACTTATCACTACCATTCCAGAGTTCGAACTGATTTTCATTTGAAAAATTATTCATGTGACTTCACAGTCAAAGGAAGCATCAGGTGAACTTTACTACATTGATGTCCAGAGACTAGTTCTTTGCACACACTCATGAATTATTTTTCACCATAATGACAGCTTAATTGTTTTTATTATGCAAACAATGTCTATACTTATTTTACAACTCCCATACATTAGAGAAAGCACAAAGATAAAGAGTAAAAATTACTTAAAATCCCACCAGTCTGAGATAAACATCATCAATATTTTGGTTGTCATTTTTTATATAATTTTTCATACTGATATCATTGTATACCAACTCATATACATAAATGAGGTTTCGATGGCTCAATCAATACTTGCTGGATGGTTAAAGAGTATAATCAAAGAACAAGCTCATAAACAAACAAATTAATGAAAAATAGGCTATGCTGTTAATTAGCTGGCAGTTTCCAAGTAATTGTAAAAATAATATTGCACATCTTTTGCCTTCTCCCCTTTATCTTTAAACTGTAGTGGGGGTAGGAGAGCTTCCACATGTTTTGAGGGCTCACCAAGTTTAAACTCCCAAGTAAAGAATGTGTAACTGGTTGCTGTCCTGACTCCAGAGACATTACCAATCTATTCTCAAACTCAAGTCAAGTTCAAAAACCATTTACTAAGCACCCATGTGCCAAGCACTGCACTGTGTTCTGTAGGATACACTCAAGAAGCAAAACTGTGATGACTGTCTTCTGGGAGTTTCTCTCTTGTTGGGGAAACAATATTGAGGTCTGTCTGTTTCTGGATGATTATCTGAACTTGGACCGTTTCACATTTGTCAAATGGGGATAATACCTATATCTGATAAGACTGTTGCTATGATGAAAAAAAACTTGAGGAATTCAGCAGGAACTTCATGGGACAATGTGGATTTGAGGCAGGCTTTGTGGGTTCCGGGGAAGAAGAAATAGCACACACGGGGCGGGGAATAGGAATGGCCTGGGGTAGTGAGGACCCAGCACAAACCAACCTTGTTACTTGAAGATCCGTTACGAGAGACTCAGGAGATGAGGAGACAGGCAGAAAACATTAAGGTTTATAAACAGAGGAGAAAATTGTGAACAAACCAATCCTCTTAGAGGGTCAAACAAGAGTAGAAAACTATTTTTTTTTTTTTTTTGCCTTTTCAGCATGTGCCCATGTCTAAGATCAAGGCCATCCATATGAGTGACCCAAAGGCAACCTGCTTGTCAAGTAACTGGAAAAAGAAAAAACCTGGCCTGCACAATGGGCTCAAGTCCAAGTGTCTCAGACTTGTAGGAAAAATTCTGATCGGAAAATTTCCATCTCCAATTGTGCTGAGGAAGCTTAGGGCCTGAGTAAGCATGCTGGCAGCCACAAGAGGATATTGAGATTGCTTTGGCCTTTTCACCGCGGTGCACAGAGTTCTTCGGGTCCTGGGAGACCTCAGCTGCTGTTTGATCTCTGAACCTGCAAGGGGTCAGAGAACTTGTAGGGAAAAACACTTTGTTCACAAACAGAACTGCATCCAAAACTTTTCCCTACATCCTATGAAGTGACCAGAGGGTTCTGATTTCCAAAGCATAGTACACAGGTTTCACCTGGGCTAATCCTACAGCACTGATGGAATTAGATACTCATCATGGGAAAAGAGGGAAAACACTGAACTGTTCCAGTCTCTTCTGTTAGCTCAGGGTCCCAGGAGAGCTCTTCTCTCCTCTGTCACATCTTCCTTTTTTAATCTGGCACCATTGACGACTTCCTGGAAGCACGTTCCTATGGCTCGGCACTGCCCTAAATAATGCTCTCATCCCATCCCACCTGCCCTTCGACTCCAGACAGAGGACAAAGGTGATGAGAGGTAGATTTTAATATTACAATTCCAGATCATAATTGAAACTTGATGTTTCTAGAAGCTGCTTTAACACGTTTAGTCCTCAGAGGAAGCAATTACATCACTTACTAATTGCCACAAATCTTATCCATTCAACTATCCATCCATTCATCTGTCTATCCATTCATCCATTCATCTACCCACCCACCTATCCATTCATCCATGTATCCTTTAAATTTCATCTACTGAACACTTAGGTCCTAACCTGTGTATCACTTTCAGTACTTCTTGAAATTTTTACATGAAAACTGTCTCAAAAATTAGTATTCTCACTGCAATGCCTCAAGACACTTCAGAGGGAAAAAATGCCCCCAAATACTCAAGCAAAATGAGCTGAGCCTGCAGACTGACTTCCAGCTTTAATCCCCCCAAACTGCTGAAATGCAGACAGTCAATAAACTTTGAAAAGGGACTAAAAATCATGCACTAAAAATATAATCCCAGTGGTAATTTATAAGATTTGCACTTTTCATTTCCATTAAATCATGCTCCCAATTTTTAGAGACAACTAGAGAAGGCCGGAAGTGTGAAGCCAACGACGGTTAAAGTCTGGCTTTTCTCAGATTTGCCTGCGTTGAAATTGTGTTCAACCACAGCAAGTATTGACACTAAAAAGTTAACATAGCTTTCAGAAATGTCTAATTTGAAATCTCTATCCCCAGAGGCCAGGTCATTACTGGGTCAATCATTCTTTTAAGTTACCTACTCACCAGTTTGAGAAAAAATGAACATTTCTGGGTCACTAGGTTCCATATACTTATCTACACGTGATGCCCTGGAACCATGAATGTCATTCTATTGGATATGGTTGGGCACCAAATCCCAGAGATAAGCTCCTCACCCCTGTATGTAATAGGGGCTGAGCACTGAGCTTGCCTCCCTCTCAAAACAGGTAAAAATACCCAAGGGCAATGGAATCAAGTTAAAGTTCCATGGTTATATCTTTATGATTTTTTTTCTAATTTTTACCCCATGTAAGTTTTCTGGTCTGAACTTACACACTCTGAAAATCTGTGACCATGTAGGGTAGAGGCAAATACAGACCAATCGAAAGAGGCGAAGAGCCAGGGCGATTGTGAAAGCAATCCTGGGTAGGACTTTTTTAGAAGACAATTTATTAATACCAGCTAGAAATGTAATTGTTTGTAACTATTGAGCCCAGCAATCTTGATGTTAGAAACTGGTCCTAAGAAAATAACCGGAGAGGTGATTTAGATTAATTCAATTATTTAGCACACAATTATTGTAGCGAAATATTGAAAATAACCTAAACTTCCTGCATTTGGTGATTGGTAACATTGTGGTTCAACTATAGAATGTTACAGGAAAATGCTCATCGTATTGTTTGGGACAAAACCAAAACAGCAATAGATATAATGACCTTTTATATAATTTCAGTATTTATCCATTACTTTCTCCCCTCCGCCCCCGCCCATGGAAGACAATATACTAAAAAGTGTTTATAATGATTACGATCATGGCTAGAGATAAATTTGATTTTACTCAGGATATGTTTTTTTTAAAAATTGATTTTAGAGAAAGGAAGAAAGAGAGAGAGACAGCAATGTGAGAAAGAAGCATCAATAGGTTGCCTCTGTACAGGACCCGAATGGAGATCAAACCCACAACCTATGTATGTGCTCTGACCGGGAATCGAACCCACAGCCTTTTGGTATACTGGACAATGCTCCAACTAACTGAGCCACCTGGCCAGGGCTTGATTTTCTATTTTTGCACTTTTCTTTATAGTCCAAGTTTTCATTAGTGAACATGTATTTTGTTCTCTCATAACCTCTTATTTAACAAGATTTATAGTCATAGTCTCATGTTTCTGCTTATTATACATCTTCCCAATAGAATACACGTTTATGAAGCAGGGTGTATATCTGTCTGTTTCTTTTTCATTGTATACCTGTTGTTGTCTTTTTAGCAAGGTGCCTAGTATATGATAAATATTTTCTTTCTTTTTTTTTTTTTTTGGTATGTGCCCCTAGTGGGAACCAAACCCAGGACTCTCTGGTCTGCAGGCTGAGGCTCCAACCGCTGAGCCAAGCTGGCCAGGGCTATAATAAATATTTTATAAATGATTACCAAGTGAACAATTGGGGGACAGTACTTACAAGAGGCATGGTTACATGCAGGGGTTCTGATGGGCTATCAAACAGTTTATCAAACAGTTTGTTACGCCTCTGGTCTCCAGCTCATTTGCTCAGACAACATACCTTTTCTTGGCTTACTTTTGCCTCCCATCATCACACAAGACTCCATTCTCCATTAGGAAAGTTTCTGCCACCCCTCTACCTGTCAGAACCCTACCTAGGCCTGTCTTTGCTCACTTAGCCATCCCTGTTCAGTTAAGCTTCCCTCTAGTCCTTACCGCAACCACTCACTAGGAAGAGAAACATTTTCTAAACTTCTACTGGGTTTCAAACCCTTTTTTAGAATAGCGATCAGCATACCATGGTCCATGGGCCACCACTGGATTTTGCAAATAGAGTTTCGCTAGAATACAGACATACCCACAAGCTGCAATGCAGGGTTGAATAGCTGGGACACAGACTGTGTGATCAGCAAAGCCTAATATATATACTATTTAGTTCTTTACAGGAAGTGTCCCTACCCTTGTTCTAGAATGTTTACATACCTGAACAAAGTGGAGATGATACCAAAACTTTATCCAATTAGAAAGTCATTCATAGAGCAACAGGGAACTCAAAATATATGACCAAGAGCTATGTAAAAAAAAAATTACTGTAATATACCTAATTTTGTTCTTAAGAACATATATTTTTGTGTCAGACACACCTGCATGCATTCAAGTCCCAAGTCTGCTAATGGATTACACAAATTCTCCAAGCCTCAGTTTCATCACAAGTAAAACAGAAATTATTCCCTTCTTTTCTTAATAAACACTTCATGTGTGTTATTTTCCAGGTAGGCACCGTATAAAAAGATAGACAAACAATGGTGAAAAAGACCTAAAAGTCTCAATTCAGATTTAATTGTAAATATTTCTGATGGTTGTTGTGAGAATGAAATGATATAGATATATACTTATTCATGTATCTATATTATATAAGCATACATCCATCTAGTATACTGTACATAAATACAGAGTACATCATATACGGTACATTTGGACCACTTAACCTAATTCCTGGTCACAGCAGGCACTCAGTATAAAGGAGCCCTTCCTCTTCATTATAAGTACAACAGACCTCTAAGAAGAAGACTTGCTGGATGAAAAAATGCCTCCCATTCTCTCTGTGAAATGGACCTATAGCATGCTCTATACCCTAGGTAGTATAATAATCGGATGCATAGTCAAACCTCAGCTTCTTCTGCTTGGATTTGCATGTTTACTGAGAGTCAGTGTGTTCGTTTCCAAATCTCCTGATGCCAGTTACATTTATTTAATTTAAACATCATGGAAGGGGGTGAAAAGAATGGTGTGAAAAGAAAGAGAACGATGTCTTCACATGAAAACGAAATGCTATCAAAAGATAATGAAAAAAATTGTCGAATTAAATGTAGCCAAGAAAAGAGATTTGGGACAATCATAAAAATCCAGATGAGTCTGCAGTAAGAATGCTTCTCAGGTAGCTACGCTCTCACTCAACCTCAGTACCAAACTCAGACAAGGTCTTTCCCCTTTTGGGTGTGGTTTGCATAAGAAAAGGATTACCACCCCCAATCAGCAGACCCAGACTGGAAAATGAAGCCTTGATTCGTCAACGAGCCCTTCATCAAAATTAGGAAATGTTGTTTAAAATAAGTATACCGTTTTTTTTATAATTCTCTGCCTTAACGTCTCCAAATTACCATCAACTGTTGGTTCCAAGTGCACGGAGCAAGAGAGGGCTTCTTTTGTATTTATTTAATTCTCACATATAAACAATAACATATTAGCAGGGGGCATGTTGCCTGTCTCCTGCCATATTTTATAGGTATAAACACAACCAGCCTGTCTGGCGGTGATGACCTCCCCAAGGGACCATGCCTCTTGCAGGGGATCTCCTTCATCTCTCTCCAGAAGAGGGGGAGAGAAAACAAAGAAGTGCCTGGCATGAAGCCCCAGTTCCTACTTCATGGGAGTGAAATGCCCAGGATGCTATAAAATCACCCCTGTCTTTAGCCCTGTACAAATGGCTGTTTCGTGAGTTGGCTGCTCCATGGTCCTCTATCCGCCTGCAGGAGGAAGCTCCCTGAATCCAGATGAGTGGGGAACCATCCCAATGAAACACATTTTGGATGGA